GGGAGCCTGATGTGGGACTCGATCCCGGGACTCCAGGATCATGACCTGAGCCGAAGGCAGTCGCTTAACCAACTGAGCCACCCAGGCGCCCCAATTGTGTGTAATTCTAATCAAAATCCATCTGATAATTCCACATTAATATTGCTTTACTACTTTGAAAGTTTTATATATGCCTCGTCTACTCTTTTCCTTAGATTTCAGTACAGAAAACCTCTGATTCTGGGACAGTTTAGTCTTTCAGGGTTTCTAATCTTAGCTGCAAAAAATTCATATACTTTTAACTTTACTTTTATTTTTGCCTTATTTTCTGCTTTCTTATTCTTTAAATTTCCTTTCCATAACTCCACATCTTATATTCTATTGTCTAGTCTCAAAACAGCTTCCTCACCTCCACTTACTCAACCATATATTCTTTTTCTTTCATCTTAGCTGAAGTGAGAAGAGGTAATGTATCTGTTCTGTTTTATGGGGCATTTTGATCACACCTCAAGCTGTGCCATTTTATGAACAGAATTGGAAACACCTGAAAATAATTTGAATGTTTGTTTTGCTCCATTGTGTGCTTTTACATATTTAATATATTATACTTTCTCTTTTTTTATTTAGATTTTCTCTTTCATTAGGTTTTTAGAGAACATTGAGCCTAGTACTGTTGATTAGAAAGACTTAGTACAGTGCATTTCAGAATCCGTGTTTCATTTCTTTACCTCAATACTCTCTGATATGACAGCATCCCAGAAAATTTCTCTTGAATTCAAATAGATGTAAAGGATCAAAGAAGGTCTTCTGTAATTCTTCAGTACTTACATGGCTCTGGTGTCACTTGACTGTGGAGGTTGGGGTGTTATTTCAGCTTCCTCAGCTATATGATAAAGTATTCCTTGGTTCCAGAAGAACTTCAGATGTACATGTGACTGTGAATTATATTACATTTATCTGTGCCTATATAATATTTCTAAGTTAATTGCTTTATGAATATATATAAGAACTTCTGGTATTTAAAAGTCAGATTAAAATTTTCCATTAGAAATAAAAATGGAAGCAAAATATATGGATGGGGTCCCTAATCAATAGTCGATACCTTCAGTATTCAAGGGATTACTTTTCTAAGTGAGCATGCTTCGTAACATAAATGAGAATGTGTATGTGAAAGAAGACTTGTATGGTATTTTTTCATTACAGAGTACACTGTTCCCTTCTCATAGCTGGTTCATTTTTTTAAAAACCTAAATATAATTTATTTCTCTTGGAATGTTATAAATACGTAGAAGTAGTGTCTTGTCCCTGAATTGAGGGGAAAAAACTTATCCTGAAATAGAAATGATGTATTTTTCACTTTTAGACTGAAAAAGCAAATACTTTTATGATAAGTAAAAACATTACAAAGCAGTACACTGCGTTCATAATACATAAAAACTTCTCTGGTGCCATTATTTATTAACATTGGAAGCCCTTATTGTGCCATGTTAAGACTGCCAATTCTTTTTTTTTTTTTTTTTTTAAGATTGTCAGTTCTTTATCCAGAATCTAGATAATGGCATTTCTTTAACTTTTTTTTTTGAAAGAGAGAGAAAGCACAGGAAAGCCATAATATTTGAAAGAAGAAAGACAATGAAAATAACAAAACCCCAACTATAGGAAGTCTGCAGCTCTTGAATATTATAATCTAGAGTAGAACTATTCCTAGGTGTCTTTCTGTTTTGATTTTGGTCATTATTGTTAATGGCGTAGTTCCTTTTAACCAAAACATGACTATTCTTTCTTTCTCAAGACTAACACCTTTTAATCTTTTATATATAATGTACCAGAAGGGCTTCCTTTTGTTGTTTCCTCTTCTGCGTTGCAACTCTGTGCCATGAATAGCATGAGAAACTATTAGGTAAAGTAGTAAATAGATTGCTGCTCTTACTAATGAAGGAGAAATGTAATTCTACTGGTTTTAGCAACAACTGTCCTTATGAACAAACTTTTGTTGAGCTCAGAATGAAGGTAAAAGACATGTGTCCTTATTCTTGGGTTCCCTAACACATACATCTTAATCAAGGAACTCTGCTTTGGGGGGAGAAGGAAAGAACAGGATTTAGATTGCAGAGCTCACATTAGGGTCATGAGGAACTTCATTAGGGCCTAAGGATGTCACATACTAAGCAACTTTTGATTCTGATCTCAAATCTGCCATTTCTGAAAAGGTGATCAGCTTCCATTATATTTCTTACTTGTATGAAATGGAGGTACTCAAGTGTACTCATGTAGGCTGTAGGTCTCGATTATTGCCTGATTAAAAAATACTGTTGACCCTAAGAAGGGACTTCATTTATGTTGAAGTCATCTACCAAAATCAGCACACAGAGTGGATTTTCTTTATCTAATTGTCTTTCTAAAACATACAGCTTGCAGCAAAAAGTAGAAAGATGCCTTGAAGATGGAATTCGCCTTCCCATGTTAGATGCAAAACAGCTTCAGAATGAAAATGATAATCTGAGAGAACAAAATGAGAATGCTAGTAAGGTCAGTTCATGTCTTTGATAATAGATGTGAAATCTATATTATGTTGGATGAGTGTGTATAGATATATAAGTTACAGCTATTTTATTTTATATTTTTGGTAATAATAGCTTAGTTTGAACTTTTTATTTAGAAAGAAAGTGACACTTTAAGTAAATTTAAATAATTTAAATTTTTGTAAAAGCCAAACTAAGGAAATTATATTACTTTTTAGCAAAACGAAAGGATATCTTTTCCTTCCTAAATTATTGAATGTCTGTTTCAAAGTTATTTTTATAAATTGCAGAGTTTTATCAAGAACCAGAGGAAGACTTTTGCAGTTTTATGTATGTGTGATCTAAATCCTATGTCTATTTAAAGGATACTTGATATGAATACTTTTGTAAAAAAAAAAAAAAATCAAACCCTGATTTTTAAAAGATAAATTCATTATTTCCTATGCTTTTGTTTTCTTAAAATATTGGTACTTTTAAAAAGCAATGGAAAAAATTTTGATTCACACTGATCTATTTCCTGTGTTTTAGATAATAGACAGCCAACAAGATGAGATTGAAAGAATGACTGTAGAAATTCAGGTAAGGAATGTTTTGAGCATATTTTAATTTAGCTGTGTGCTGATTTACTCTTAATGGCTGTATAACCTAAAAAATACTAAAGCATATATGTATTTATATGAAAAGATTAATAGCACTTGAAGTTGCAAATTCTTTAATCTTTTACATTTTTAGAATGAAAATGCTACTTGTTAAATCAGTTATTCAAAAAATCTTGAAATTGTTCTCTTTTTACCTTACCTCACTTGTTTTTAACTGGGTATAGTCTTAAATCAGTTATTCAAAAAATCTTGAAATTGTTCTCTTTTTACCTTACCTTTTTACCTTACCTCACTTGTTTTTAACTGGGTATAGTCTCCTGCTGAGGACACATTTGGTTAAGGTCATCAGTGATCTACTTATTAAAGACAATGGACTGTTTTTAGTCCATTGTGACTGGCCATAACACTTCTCTTGTTCCTAATAATTTTATGTATTATTCTTTGTATGTTATCCAAGTATAACATGTTGTTTTTGTATTTGTGTTTTTACCTCCTGCTTAGTTTCTTAAGAGGAGAGACTATGGTAGATCATATGGGTATCTAGAGCTTAGAGTGTCTGATTCATAATGTGCAACCAGAATTTGTGGATTAAATGTGTTTTCATTTTTTTTATCAATTTGCCAGATACTTACTGAGCACCTACATGTGTGCCAGGCACTGTTTTTGGCACTGGAGATTCATCAGTGAACAGAGCAAGTCTTTAGCCATTCTAGTGGGGTGAGATGGACAAAATGAAGATACAATGTCAAGGAATGATATGTAGTATTAAAAAAGTAGGGTAGAGAGCAATGACAGACAGTGCTTTATTAAATACAGTGGTCATGAAGTTTTTACTGGGGAAGTATATCTGAACAGAGATCTGGATGAAGATAACCAAGGGAAGGGCATTCCAGGCAAAGAGAGTCACCATTGCCCTGGGGTGCCTGGTGTACTCCAAGACCAGCAAGAAGGCTGCTAGTCTGAAGTGCATGATGGTGAGGTAGAGTGGTGAAAGGTGATGGTGGAAAGTAGCCTGGGGCTAGATCACATAGGGTTAGATGTTTTTGTATTTTATTCTGTGTATGATGGAAAGCCACTGGACATATTTTGCTGAATAATTTTCTTATTTTTATACCTCCTAAAATACCTTCCATTTTTAGGAAGTAAAAAATAAAAAAGATAAATGGTTTAAGTGTCAGAATTATAGACAGTCTGCTTTGATTGTCTTTTGGCCATATTAAGTGATTTATCATTTTAATCAAATACTAGGCCAGTTCAACAAGTGTGTGGGCCTGCTGTATTGGTTCACAGAGGTTATACTCTTTAATCTGTATTCCTGTAGACATAACTTCAGTTGTTCTACAAGCCATTTGAATCACAAAATGGTTAAGTTCCCTCAGCAATTATTACCTGACTCATTATAGACCATAATAAAAGAAATTTATATTTCACTTGGTAACATTTTCCGAGAAATCATTCAAATAAAAGTTTATCTCAATGCAAATTAGGGACAGTCAGCATTGTCCTTTGGTACTGAAATTTTGGTGGATAAGACTTGTAAGATTTTATTAATTTATCACATACTATCTCTCACATTATAGATTATCAGGATATATTTGTATCAATTGAAATGTGCCTTTTTCCTATTTATGGTGGCATCTTAATACAATTTACTCTTACACACCAACCATGTCTTTTAGTCACACTTGAATATGTCATGACCATATATAAATATGTAGAAGAATATGTAATTTATATGCCATTCTATTCTTTGACTTTAAATGTTTGTGTAAACATTTCAAGTTAAAAATTTCAAATTAAACTCATTAATTCTGTTGTCTTACGTTTTGAAGCAATGGGTATCTAAGTCATTCTGGCCATCTATCTAGGCTATACATCTAGTATATGGTTTGCTAACAGAGCAGGTAGCAAATGTTAATAACTGGCCATATTAGCTATATTTATCAAGATATTATTTGAATAGAAAATTATAGATGGAGACAAATATGCCTCAAATGGTAAGAAAATTTTTTGCTTAATGTTCCTTGTTAAAACTTATTTTTTGGCCCTTCACAGTTAAAAAAGCTAGGTTTTTTATTTGGTTGGTTGTGATGAATATAAAAGATGTATACTCTGTAAACCCCCATCTGAAAATATTGCCTATTCTAAAAAAATGGTTACCAATTTTTTACCTAGCATTGGAAACCACAGAGAGAATCCTAAAGAGAACACTTTGGTTTGAAAAAGTATTCTTGGGGCGCCTGGGTGGCTCAGTTGGTTAAGCGACTGCCTTCGGCTCAGGTCATGATCCTGGAGTCCCGGGATCGAGTCCCGCATCGGGCTCCCTGCTC